TTCTTCTGGCATTCCACAGACAGGAGTTCTCTTGTCCAGTGACAAAGGCAGCGTGCGACTTTTTTTACATTATCAATGGTGCTTCAAGATGGTGCTGCGCGCAAAGCTATTTGGATGTGTCGACAAGATGTTGGGTCCAAGCCCTGCATGCTTTGCGCAAACATGTTTCATCTCAAAGGTGTTGCTGATGAAACTGAGGAAAAAATATTGTCTAAGTTTTGCAAGCACAGCCAGCTTAAGCGCTCTAGCGATGCAGAAATTGTTGATTCTTGGAACAGAATGGCTGAGAGATTCGAAGTGCTTTCACAGATGGAGTTCAACCAGTGGCAGCAGGCCACAGGGGTATCTTTCAGTCCACATGGCCTTCTTTCAAGCAGCACTTTGCAAAACCATGGTTTATTGCTTCCTGCCAGCCTGTATTGCCATGACTATATGCGCACAATGTGCTCAAATGGCATCATGGTTGATGCAGTGTATCTGGTCTTGGAAACTCTTTTCAGTGCTGGATACAATGCATGGGGCTTGTTGGGCCAATGGTTGTCACTTTGGGTGCTCCCAAAGCACCAGCAAAGCTTTGACATTGCCAAGCTCTTTGATGCACAAAAGGTGAGCAAGTACAGGAAGGATAAGTCCTTCAAGTGTTCAGCTTCAGAAATGTTGACCCTCTACAAACCTCTTCAATATTTTTTGGAGGTCATGTACATGAGTAACAGCTGCATGGTCAAGGAGTGTAGATCCTTCATTGCATGGTGCCACCTGCTGGACTATTTACAGAGCATACCTTATTTGGACAACCCTTGCCCCAAGACTTTGTTGGGCCTTGTTGAGAGTGCATTGGAATGTCACACAATGGCTGGCTTTGCAAACTACACAAAGCCTAAGCATCATTGGACTCTTCACTTCTTTGGCTGTTTGAAGCGCTGGGGTCACCTGCCTTCATGCTGGTCTCAAGGAAGTATGGGTCTGTGCATTGTAACCTGGCAACATACGACAAAGGTCTTCTGGTGGCCTGCACAATGGAGCATCTTCATAACCTTCAAGATGCAGAGTCGTTTGATGAGACTTGTCATTTGCTGGGGCCTCGAGATGTTCCCACATCTTTGCACCAGAAGTTGAAGGCAGAAGGGCTGCATTTTCAAAATGTGCAATCAGCAACAAGCTGCAAGTTGTCATCAGGCTCCACTTGTACAACTGGTGATGTGGTATTCTTAGCAGATGCTGCAAGCAATGGCTTGAGATGTGGCAAAGCATTGCACTTTCTGTTGGTGCTTGACGTACCACTTGTGCTTCTGAATGAATTTAAATTTGTTGAGCAGAAGACCAAGACAGCCACTGTCTGGGAAGCTTGTGACCACAAACAGTTGCTGCCACTTCAGGATGTCTCGCAGCCAGTGGTGCACAGCTTTGGGAAGAATGGCAGGGTGACTTGCCTTAAACCTGCTCCTCTGCTTCACAAGTGAAAAAGCTGAAGTTTTGCAGTCAAAATGGCCACTGCAGGCTTTGAGTTTGGCCTCTACAGGCTGATGTTTGGCCTCTATAGGCTGATGTGTTTTCTTGCTTGGCCCCTGTAGGCTCATGTGTTTGCTTCTTTAAGCCCATAAAATGGACTGTATTGGCATATTGCTTTTAAGTTTGCACACATATGTCTTAAGAAATTGGTGTACATATTGATGTTTGTGAAGTTGCTTATGTATTTTTTTAAAGCCCAGACCAAAGAAATATGCAAAATGGACATACTTTTTAAAAAATCTATGTATGCATTTTTGCTTTCAATGATACAATTTTTTAAATTACTAACTAGTTATAACTAGTTAGGAACTACTTAGCTAACTATGTTAATGTCCATAACACATTAGCAAGCCACCAAAACATCAAAGTTTGTATTGAAAAACACAGCATTTCGTGCGTCCGCTATCTATCGAAAACGCATTTTGTATTGCGCCTGCCACGAAATCTGCGCATGGACGTTTTCAAAGTGCTCTGCCTGCCACGAAATCTGCGCATGGATGTTCACAAAGTGCTGTTCCTGCCATGAAATCTGCACATGGAGGTTCACAAAGTGCTGTGCCTGCCACGAA